TGAGTCGGTGAAACTCCGACGAAACAGTTTGTCACAGCCCCTCGTTTGTTGTCCTCTTCTCTCTCTCTGCCTACGGTTTACCGGGCAGTTCTATTTGTGACGATATATATAGAGAGAGAGAGAGCTGCAGCATGCAGCATGTCAGTGGCGGGGAGCACAAGGGCAGGCGCTGACCCTCAACAAAAAGAAGAAGTAATTTTATCGGAATACAGAGTTTTTTCTTTTCGAAATCCGAATAGAAAGGGTACAGTACAGGTTGCATTCGAATACAACGTGTAGGACCTGCACCGTTTCAATTTCGAAAAAGGACTACCCGCACCGTTTCAATTTCGAAAAAGGACTGCGGCCTCGTCGGCCTCCTACTCGCAGCTACCGGTCCTACGCGGTCCTGGCCCTTGCGAGGCCCCAAAACCAAAAAATGACCACCCTCCTGACGACCACCCCGTTGAAATTTGACGTTGAACGTTGAATGTCTCAGGGGGGGAAAACGCATCCCTGACAGGCTGCGAACAGAGGGTGGGGTGGGGGGAATATTCAGGGGTTATGGTGGTCTCGCTTTCTTTTCCTTCTTTATCTTTATTTCTTTACAGTGGGCTGCCTACCAATAGCGGACTGGTAGGTGCCGACGCGTTGACCAGTCGGGTGCCAGGCTGCCGACCGGCACCTACTGTACGCGTGACAACGACTATGGCAAGCATTTACTTGGTATGAAGTTGCTTGTTCAGCTACTGGACAGAAAGGCGAGGGAAGCCTCATGAATTGAAATACATAAAGAACCACATACTACAGAACGAGAGACTATTATCAGACCATGTGAAATGGAAGCTCAACATGTAGACAAAGCTCAATTTCCCCTTCTCACCACCTTGCGACTCCAAACCACACCATCATTATTGAAAAAATTAACACTAACAATATAAGCTCGTATCTGGACTGCTGAAGGGGCGAAGACCCATGCTAACCAACCAGACCTATTCTTCACGTATCCTTGAGGGCTGCCAGAATACTGAATCTCCTCTTCTTTTTTTTATTTTTGCATCTTATAAATAAAATGATAATTCTCATTATCATGGATTTTTCTACTCAAATACATATTGAAATCAATGTGATAAAATGAGAAAGAAATCACAGTGACTGTAATCAATGAATACAAGAAACTAAACAAAAAGGTTAAATCATACAAACCTAATAGCTAGAAAAAATAGCAGAATAATTGTAATTCTTTGAAAATCCCATAAATCCCTTCGTTATTGATTAGTTATGTTGTAATATCCAATTCATTCGATTTTTTATTTGATAGTATTAAAAGAGAGAAATACCTACTAAAGTAGACATATAAGTAAGTCTATCATGAAGTATATAATTAATACTGTATAGAACACAGCAAGATATTAGGGAGCCACAGCTCTGCCTCCGTACGTAGACAGTAGAGTAGCAATTAACACCAACAATATAAGCTCGTATCTGGACTGCTGAAGGGGCGAAGACCCATGCTAATCAACCAGACCTATTCTTCACGTATCCTTGAGGGCTGCCAGAATACTGAATCAGTAGCTCGCTTCTCATCCACAGCATTATAGAACACAGCAAGATATTAGGGAGCCACAGCTCGCTGCCTCCGTACGTAGGCAGTAGAGTAGGCACATGGCCAACAGCCTAGAGTCTACAGAAGAGACACAGGCCCATTTACTCCACAGAACCTGAGAACACTAGATTTGTCCTCCTATTCTGGGCACTTCCGGTACGGTGAGGATTCCAAAAATTGCAGACATCCCTGAGACTTCCCCAGCCATCTGCACAGAGATGCCCTCGTAGGGCATCCCGCTCAACACAACCACAAATTCAGAAAACTGGCTGCCCTACCCTACGCGGCAGAAGCATTTGGCCTGGTCCCTTGGTAACATGAATTCACAAACAGCATCTTATTTACATATCTACCATACTGCTTTACAGCCGCCTTGAAGAAGCAGTGCCAAACACTACGTAAAACTTGCAAGGTTCTTGCAATTACCTCCTACTGCCCACGAGCTCAATTGAACAGCTAAATTACTCTGCAAGCCCAATCGAAGAGCTAAATAACATTTTCCTAAACAACGTCTCATGAGATTAGGCCACCAGTACTTCAACCACTTATTTTGTTTCGGGGCCGCCGTTAAATCCCGTTGTTTGGGGCACGGTCTACTGAAACGAAAAGGCTGGAGGAACCACGCAAAAAAAATGATTTTGCACCCATGTCAGTTCGACAGAACTTGCAGAAATCAGCACGGGGAAAAGGAGGCTCTGAAGTACTGTGGTTACCAGTGTCCCTGACAAGATTCTCAATCTTCAACGAATCCGGGCGAACTCCCCAGGTCACACACCTAAAGAAGGACGGATACAGTCGTTCTGCTGCTAGCCCAAAACCTTATTCTCAGGACAGTTTGGCAACCCTTGTCAACAACATGCTGTGAGAAATCCTAGAACACCACAAGCTGGGAAATCAATAACCATTGCGGACTATGAAGTTTTGAACTCCTCACCTCTGCTTGACCTTCAACCACACCCCCAATACCATCGAGGAATTACCCAATGCACTTCTGTTCCCACCTCCACCAAGCTTTGAACTCCTGATCTCCTGATCTCTGTCTGGGCTGACCGTCCACCACGCCCCGGAAATGCACAATACCCCCGAAATGACCAACGACACCCCCAAAATGCACAACATCTCCCAGCCCCCTCCGATTCCCTCCTAAGGGAGCCTCTGCCTGGGCAGACGTTCAACCACACCCCCAATACCATCGAGGAATTCCCAAATGCACTTCTGTTCCCACCTCCACCAAGCTTTAGCTGCTGATCTCTGTCTGGGCTGACTTTCAACCATACAACCGAAATGCACAACAGCTCCCAGCCCCCTCCAATTCCCTCCTAAGGGATCCCACTCCCAGCACATCTTGAGGAAGCACTTTCGTTAGAAAGTGCATTGGGCAGCATTTAAGCCCTTAAGGCTGGATGTATCTAGGTTTTCAGACAGTCCCTGGGCTCACACCAGCCGGTGTCTGTGGTCAGAGCACTGACGAAGCACTAGATCCCTACTACCTCACTTAGGTGTAATGAAACCTGCAGATTCTCAGTGGACTGTACATTAGGCTGAGGGCGAAGCCTGGGGCTTGCCTCCGTCTGGTCGCGTCGTAGGTTAGATTCGCGATTTTGTGTTTTCTGTGTTTTGTTGTCTGTGCTGTTGCTGTGTTTTTTTCTTAACGCATCGAGGTGCGATGACGTGCTGATTTCTGCTGCCGTGACTAACGGCGAGGTTGTACCCTGTTGCGTGTGCCTGTTGTGTTTTGCAGCGTGCTTTGTTGTGTGTGCGTGCAGAGTTTTGGGTCACACTGAGGCTTATATGCTGTTCTAAAAATAGACCGGTTCCGGCCCTGCGATTGCAGGCCCAGTCTTCCCCGACGTCATAGAGGCCCTAAGGGCCTACAGTGGGTAGAGCCCGTAGCTGGGAAGGGCCTAGAGGCCCTAAGTCGAAATGGTACCGGTAGAGCAGTTTCTGTCCAGTAGGTCTAGGGTAGAATCTAAAAATAGGACAGGCCAAGTAGGTTTAGAACGAATCTAAAAATAGGACAGGCCAAGTAGGTTTAGAACTTTTGACAGTTCATTTCTCGCGAAGCAGCATTGGAGAAGCCAAGCAAGTTGGTGGCGGTGACTGTCTGCAGGCGGCATCCTGAGACCTCGCCGTTGACAGCAGCCATAGCCGGCCCAGTCTGAGTCTGCCATAGCTGGGGCATCCTCAGCGCATCTACCCCTGGGGTATCTGCGTCTGGTCGGGCTATATCGAGGCTCTACACTGTGTACTCGTGGGTGGTGGCAGCCATAGCTGCCTGTTCCTTCCTCAGAGTTGTCCATCGGCACTCAAGACTTCATCACAGGACCTGTTCTTCATCAGGGCGGTTGGCGATGGCCTCTGGGAGGCCACATCAGATTTGGCGCTACTAACTGGGTGTAGGATAGAGAGTGGGGTGTGAGTTCTAAGAGTGGCGAGATACTGGAACAAACTCTGTTACGATAATTGTGTGAGTGGATTTCAATTATAATCTTCGCAGTATGGATTTCATATGTGATCTTTGCAGGTTCTATCTTGTGATTGGTTGTTGGGAGTTGTGTCAGAGAGTGAGAAGCACTGTGTGTTCTCTCCCCATCTGTGCATGATTGTCTTTCGCTGCTTATTTTCACCTGCGTGCAGTTTGGACTCTGTCTCCTCTCTCCCCTTCTCTTATGAATGTATGGGCATGTGTGAGAATGTCTGTGTGTGAGTGGCGATAAAATTCGTCAGACAACCAAGTTCATAACATAGGTGCCAAGCGGCGGCCGTTTTTGACGCAGGGGGGCTTGTTCCCCCCAAAGGAGGCCGTCCAGGCCAACACACTTAAGAAAAAAGGGCATCTGCGCCGTCGATCTCCAGGATTGACGGCCGTGATTTCAAATTCTCAAAATCAGACGGGAACCACCGCGGCCCTCGTCCCCTCCCCCGTGACCTCCAGCTCGACGCCGCACTTCGCCCGACGCCTCACTTGGACGGGGGCTCCGCCAACGCCCGCAAACGCCGCCGAGCCCGCCGATGCCCGTCATTGCGCTGTGGCGCCAAGGTAAGTGGGTTAGTAGTAGTAGTAGAGAGAGAGAGAGAGAGATCTTCTTCATCTTCTTCCTCTTCTTCGTCGCATATTTTTCTTCTTCTTCTTCTTCTTCTCTGCCAGTGTCTCGTGACCCCCTGCCCGCCATCCTCCACCCGTCTTGTTCTTCTTCTTCTTCTTCTTTTTCTTCTTCTCCCTCCACTTCTCTTCTTCTTCTCCCTTCGCTTCTTGCTGTTTCTTCTTCTTCTTCTTCTTCTTCTTCTTCTCTTCCTCCTCCTTCGCTTCTTCATCTTCTTCTTCTTCTTCTTCTTCTTCTTCTTCCTCTTCTCCTCCTCCTCCTCCTCGCCCCCCCTGCCTGCCATCACCAACCACCATTTCCGATTTTATTTTATTTTTTTCTCTGCCTCGTGCAGGCGCGTGTGGAGCCGCGTCTCCTCCACCACCTACCTTCTTCTTCATCTTCTTCTTCTTCTTCTCGCCCACCCTTTCTCACCCCCCGCCCTCC